AACAAAAATTCCATTTTGGCTTCAGAATGGAGGATTACAGCCCTCAACCAATTTGAAAATTTAAAACTCAATCACGGTCTTGCGAAAAGTACTATATAAGCAGTAGACATTACTAATGATGGTGCTGTTATTTAAAAGAATATTACTAGTTGAAGATGATTCTGTACTCCGGAGGTAATGAACACCATATCCTCATGCGTATTTATTCCGGGAAGCCAATGTTCCATAACTTTATGGTTGTGCAGGGAGGTGACGGGCCAATATCACTCTCAACCCACTTTATAGAGGCTCGGTTGGCCCTGGGAGGGTCTCCCGACCCCTGGATCAATCCACGGCTGGTGAAAAATTACTGGTCATCACCCGAATTCGAATCTGAGACCTTGAGTTCCGGAAGTCAGTGGTCAGCCACTGAGCTACCCCGCTCCTCTTCTTAGTTACTGAATCATTCAATAAAAAAAATGGACATGGTGCCCTTTATCTCCGGGGCACAGAATCAAACGTTTTTCACATAAACATAAATTAATTCGATAAATAGCAAATACTTTATTTTGAATGATATGCTAGGATGATCCTAGGATACAGGGTGAAATCGCAGGGAAAGAGAAGCGTTGATGGGCAATAAAGCTGCCGGGGCATGGATTTAGGCAGATATTGCTGGAGCCGGTTATTACCGGTAATTACTGGTTATTGCCACCCCTGAGTCAGCCACTCTTGAATATTATTTCTGTCGTTAAAGGTTTCCTCATTACTCAGGCAAGATGCGGTCCTAACTCTGTGCTCCTGCTGCTCTCTTTGTTATGTTTTCATATTATATTATAGTTACCGAAACAATTAATAGAAAAATAGGAAGTTCCCTAATAGTCCACTTATTGTCCCAGGAACAACGGTCTGTCAGTAAGGGCATCATACCTGAAGTTTGTCTTTTTCTGTTTAGCTACTTCAGTTTAACTCAAAATGTTTGTTTTATTTTGTCTTGGAGTGTTTTTAAATTATGTTTTGTCTGTTTTCAACCTATATTATTAAAGGAATTGCAAAATTTAATGGGTATCAGCTAGTGGGGTCTTACATTGGGTCTTTTACCAGTTGTTGACAAGCCTGTACTCGTAGAAATTTAAAGAGATATGCTAAGTATAACGGATATTTAAAATGGACCTCCATGACTCTCATTAAAAAAATAATTGCTAGTGATGTAGATTAATAACAAATCAAAAATAGGTTTTCCTATTGTTAAAAACAGTTTCTTGATAGTATTTAACAAAAATTTTAAATCTGGAAACGCATATGTTAGTTTTATAATATGTTAAAGTTAATTTCTGTAATCTTAAAAAAATAATATGAAATTTCAGAGGATAGAGATTAAAAGAGACTAAAATAGTGGAAAAACTATTTTATTTAATGCCAACGTTTCAACTCGACTTTGCAGGTCTTCTTCTTATAAATTATAAATATATACATATACATACAACTTACTATGTATATGTATATATTTATATACATTTAATATTTATAGGTATATATAATTTATTAGTTCATAGATATCGCATTTTTTCTTGTATCCATCAATATCTCCAAATTTTAGGTACTGTAAGATTCCAGGTTTTGTTTTATTTTTACTACTTGCCCTCTCAACCCTCCCCCCCGACTAGGTCAGCGAATTTCTCCAAGGGTGATCTATGCATGATTCCCCAGTTTTAAGTGAAACTCCTTGCTGCATACACCCGCAAGTCTCTATTTTTATTCTTTTATTTATTTTATTTTTTATTTACATCCTTTTATGCCCATTATTTCATATTATTTTTACTTTTTCTTTCAATCTCTCCTTGAAATCTGTACGAGTATATTCATAATTGTATATATTATCCATCCTTCTTATTACATTAAATTATTTCCTATCTACAATAATCTACAACAATTGTTACCATTTATTTACTTCAGTTTAGTATCTTGTTACTTAGTTTACTCAGTTTATATAGTTTATTGTTTTTAATATTCCAATGTACCTACTGTTTACAATTTCAATAAGTTCATTCACCTTGTTTATAATTTTTATCTAAATATTACGTAACTTCCACAATTTTATATATCTTTTTGTATCTTGTCCATTGTAGCCCTGAAGAAGACGGGTCGAAACGTTGGCTTGAAATAAAATAGTTTTGCTACTATTTCAGTCTCTTTATGACCGCCTTCCCGGACCATCTCCTTCCTCTAAAATATACAACGGTCAACCATTAAGTTTTCAATATGAAATTTCGACATGAATGAAAACTAAACAATTCTCTTAATTTACAACTTTTTAAAATCTATATTTTATGGATGTTAAATATCCCGTGCCATAGTGAGAAATAAACTTATATCACGAATCCAAGAAAAATACAATAACATCAATATTGAAGTTTTTACACCTAATAGGTCAAAATAATTTCCTTAAGAATCATAGATAATGGTGCTTTTACCATAAATTGTTTGTTTGTTTGTTTCGATGTCTAGGTGCAAAACATCCAGTTCATCAGCGCCCGATCAACTAAATAACACTAGTTTTATACTGTTCAGGTGGTTGGTACAAAAAATAAGAATAAAAAAAAATTAAATAAAAGGATTGATAGAATGAAATAAATAATGATAATAATAGACACTTATAGATAAGATATAGAATAGATAATTAAATAAACTTTAAAAAATAGCAATAAAATCAATAAATGAGTTGAAATTAATAAAAAGAAAATAAAATGAAATAAAGTAAATAAATGAGGAAAATAAATAAAAAATAATAATAAATCTGCAAAGGATCATAATTTATAAACTTGTCATATATGCTGTTTAAGTCATCTGATAATAAAACGTTAGTTTTGAGAGGTCTCGCTCAATTTAGTCTAAGTAGTTCAGTAACTATTCCAATAAAACGTGGTGGAAATTATATGACCTATAAAAGATGATATGTCTAATAATCGTCAACATTATTTACAAGCATTGTTTGAGATACTGAGCATAAACAAGCGATTATTAACATTAATTTTATTTGTTATTAAAGTCAATATACAAATAACAGATACACATAAATTCTAATTAACATTAATTCATTAATATTCCAATTCCTAAGCATTACCCTATCTTAAACGACTTAAAAGGGTACATTATGACTTAAACGATGCATGTGTCCCTGTGTCCCGCAATGCTCAAAGGTGTTACCGGTCCTGTATTTTATTTTGGCTCACTACTAACCCCTGGAAGCAAGTGGGAATAGAAAAAAAATTAAAACTTTTTAAAAGTCAAGAATATTCAGACAAATTATTCAAGCACCAATTCTGGTTTCTAAATCAACTTAAAAACGCAATCCGTCAGTTAACAGATACGGACTAACAACATACAATCGCGGTCATAGAAATTGCATAACCCAATAAAAAATGTATTTTTTTTTTTGTCTATCAAAAATATATTTGCGCCTGTCAACTTATTGTTAACAATCAGCAACTGTGATGGCGATGCATGATATAATGACATGATAGGCATGGGGAAGGAAAGTACTCAGCAGTACATCTTCCCTAACTTGTTCCAATTACTTAGGTTGTTTAAGGAAGGAGATTCCTCATCCAACGCTTTTTTAGTCTCCTCCTCATGTTCTGAGGTATGTCAGCTGTGGCCATGTCTCTTATAAGTCTGTTATTATGTCTATTTAAATTTGTGTAAAATCGTTTTTATTTACTAGATTGCTCTCTTCAAGATCTTCGGACATTTATTTACCAATTTTGAAACGATATTCTAACAAGTTCCTTTCATTCGCTCCATTGTGCCTTTTTTTTCTTTTCTTCAAAGCTATGACTACTATTGATTGGTATGTATCCTATTCTTGTTAACATTTTCCGTGAAAATTCCTTTACTTTATGAAACGTCACAATTTTAATATTTTCTGACGACAACAGTTTTTTGATACAGTTCATAATTACAGCTTTGATTTTGGAATTAATTAAAACTGAACTGAGAAACATTGTTAAAGTTTTCTTGTAACCTAAATAAACATGTAAATAAAAACAAAAACATTCAATAGAATCAACTGAAATAAATAAGGATCAAAAGAAATAGATGATGCTATTTCTATGACTGTGACCTATATATTAACACATATTAAGAAATAATGTAAAAAACAGTATTTTTTTTATTTTATTTTTTGTACATATTACTTATGATCTTTATATATATATATATATATATATATATATATATATATATATATATATATATATATATATCTTTTTTTTTCATACAACCTTTCTTTTGACAACACGGTTTTAGTATGTTTTTGTGAGTGTATTTCAATAAGAATGAAATTTCTTTTACTCATATGTGATTTGTTGCTCATTTATTAGAGGATCTTATTTTGTATTCTATTGTGTTTTAAAAATATTTTTCTTTTGATTATGATATTATTTTATCTTTTTAGCTATGGAGGGATTATTTTGCTTCATAGTTGGTTTAATTTCTTATTTGTATTAAATATAATTGTAGTATTTTGTAAATAGCGTCATTGATTTGATTTTTTATTTATAATTTATTTACTTAAAGCTTTTTATCCATCCATTTTTAAAGTAACAGCTTTTCTGGTCAGATGTTACTCTTTTTTTTTCTGCAATTTTCTGTTATTCTAGAGGAACTTCGTCCCAGAATAAAGTTATTTTCTATTCTATGTATAGTAAGTTAGTAAAATATTTATAAATATTAGCAAATAGAGAAGTAAATAAATGCAATAATAAAATAGAAAAAAAAGAAGAAATCATGGTAAAAGTAAACATAATAAATGCAGTTATGTTTAAGTACCATATTAACATTCTGAAAAATTCCAACTGTACCATTTAACCATATCACTTTTTATTGTCAAATATATGTCATTCCAGGCAGTAACTTTGGATCACATGCTCTTAGTGAATTTATATTTCCACCCATCCAATCATATAACCTACTCAGTATATTAATAATTTAATGTATATATAAGCATAATGATAATGTACCTGAAGAGATCCAGACTTCGCCTGAAGGAAGTGCTGTCCCGAAAGACCAAGTTCTGGGCCGTGGAGGTCTGGACCACAACTTGCGGCCAGGTGCTCAGCCGGTCCAAGGCGATGTCCGTTATAGCAAATCTCTCTGTCAGATTCGTTCTGCCAATAACAAATAATGTTTAGATAAAATAACGAAAACAATAGCAACAAAGGAAAATATTTATTTAACATGCTCCCTCGAAATATATTTCAATAACATTGAAATCCTAGCATCGTCAAGAACTAAAGCCACACTATCAAGGGCTTTACAGAAGTTTGAAAATGGTGGAGAAAAATTGGGTCTTAAAATAAACAAGGAGAAAACCCAACATATGACATACTCAAAAAGTGAGGGCCAGGAGCGACAGGATAGCATGCAACTGCTCCACAACACTATTAAGAAAGTTGACAGTTTCAAATATCTTGGAGCCTTAGTGATGTACAAAAATGACATCACTGAAGAAATTAAAGCAAGAATCACAGCAGGCAACAGATGTCTTTTTGCATTTTGTTACGGAAAACATTGCGTTTTCGAAATCTTTCACTGAGGGCAAAGCTACTGGTTTATAAGACTATCTTGAGACCAATTGTCACTTACGCAGGTGAAACATGGGTCCTAACAGGGGAATGTGAGAAGATCTTTCGGATCTGGGAAAGGAAGGTCCTTCGGCAAATCTTAGTGCCGATACTTATAAATGGCCCATGGAAAATAAGAAGTAACAGAGAACTCCAAGAACTGTATAAAGAACCACACATAGTCACATACGTAAATCAAGCTGTATAAGATGGCTTGGGCATGTAGAAAGGATGGGTGAAGATCTGTACCCAAAAAGACTATTGTATGGTAAACTAGGAGGCAAAAGAACGAAAAGAAGTTCCAGAGTTAGATGGATTGATGGTGTTTAGGACGATTTGCGGAAGATGGGAATTTGACAATGAGGAAGCCGGGCCGATATAGAGGATTGGAGAGGCGTTGTTGTGGACGCCAAGGCCCTACGAGAGCTGTAGAGCCATGGAAATAAAGAAGTAAGAAATCTCAGCATCAGATGCAATTAGATATTTGGATTTTTACCTCGACTTGGAGGACTCACATTAGACAAAAACAAATGGAATTAAACAGATGATAGGGTCTTTTATCTAGGTTATTTGACAGACGTTCAAAATTATCATTGACTAACAAACTAACCCTCTATAACGTTTTACTTAAACCAATTTAGACTTATGGGATAAAACTATGGGATTCTCCTAAAACTTCCAATATTAAAAAAATTTAGTCTTTACAGTCCAAACTTTTGTGAAGTTTTATGTAGCAAACGATATATTACATAAAGAATTAAATACTCCAACAATTTTAGACACCGCAAAAGAAAACTACAATAACTTTCACCAAAGACTAACTTACAACATAAATCCTCAGACCTGAAACCTGAAAAACCACTAGAAACCTTTACAGTCCATCTCAACGATTACGTAGGCGGTATCCAAGAGACCTGCTTAACTGATCTTTTTCCTGGATACGTGATGGGACGCTGTGAAGCTGCCAAAAAAATTGCTCATTGCAATGACATTTGCAAAGTATTCTATACATTTTTTCTACACGTAGTGTGAATGTCATCTTACCTTCCTATAACCATTGTCCAAGTGACAGAATAGTATATTATTCAATAAATAAATTATTCACTGCTCAAACCCATTTGGACATATGCCTCACAGATTTACGGTTCAGCAAAAAAGACTCACTTACAAAAATACAATCCTTTCAATCTAAAATTTTAAGACTAATAACTGCAGCTCCCTGGTACATCAACAACAAGACTTTACATACCGACCTAAAACAACCAACCATTGACCAGCACAAACGTACTCTCTACTTCCGATTTCATTTTAAACTACACGGACATCACAATGGACTTATCAACGACATGACCACGGCTGAAATGCTCATCAGGAGGCGACTGAAAAGGAGCTGGATGAGAGATCTCCTTTCCTGATTTTAGGATGTAAACAGACCAGGGAAGAGGTGCTGCTGGGTTCCATTCTTCGTCTTGCCTATCATGTCATTTTTCTTCCTGACAACAAATCTGCTAATTGTCACTACCATGACAGGTGCGGATGAAAAAATGAAGAAAAAAAAAATAAAAATAAAATAAAATCAATGACATTAAATGATTAAAATAACTAATAAAACATACCACTCCAAATATAAGGAGAACTCTCTAGTTAAATATCTATTATTTTTCTCCATTTCATTTCATTCAAAGTTTATGCGATATCAGGATAAAATGTTTATTCCTAATATACAATATAATTTATAATAATAATAATAATAATAAGGCTTAGCGAACCCAAAGGTTTGATGCCGACACCACCAATCGCTTGTCACACACCTCCCTCCACCGTTCGCCGTCCAAACCCAGTCCCTTCAGATCAGCTTTAATGCAATCTTCCCACCTTCGCTTCGGTCTACCCCTCCGACGCTTACCATTCGGCACAGCAAATATTAACCTTTTAGGAATTCTCTCGTTACTAAGACCAACAACTTTACAAGCCCATTTGATTCGCCGCGATGAAATTACCTCAATTATATTACCCGGATATAGCTCACGCAATTCGGCGTTGTGTAACCGTCTGAACTCTCCGGTTAACTCATCCTTCTTCGGTCCGAATATTCTACGCAATACCTTATTTTCAAAAACCTTAAGACGCTGCTCATCCCTTAATGTAAGCGGCCAAGTTTCGCATCCATAAAGAACTGTAGGCAAGATAATTGTTTTATAGATCCTAATTTTTAAGTTTCGGGACAAGAGGCGCGAACTGAGTAGTTTTGTCACAGAAAAATAACAAGCATTTCCCGCCTTCAGTCTAACCTTAATCTCTTCTTCAATTTCGTTTTTTCTAGTTATCGTAGAACCTAGATACCTAAATTTATCTACCTGTTCAAACATATTACCATCTATATCGATATTACCAGTAGTATCGCCATTTTTGCAGCTAACCATATATTTTGTTTTATCCACGTTTATTTCGAGTCCTAGTTCTTTACCGGCTTTCATTAACGTTGTCGTATTTAGTTTTATAGTTTCAACGTCTTCGCTTAACAGTACCAGATCATCAGCATAGCCCAGCACGGATGTTGTCCCGCCCAGATCCAACCCTTTCTCCGTACGCATTACCTCCCTAATGGCATGTTCTAATGCCAAATTGAACTGGACAGGCGAAAGAGAATCCCCCTGTTTTAAGCCCGAACGAACCTCAAATTTTTCGGACAAATTATTACCGATTCTAACTTTATTGAGTGTCTCCGTCAAGCACATCCTGACTAGATTTACTAGTTTTTTTTGGAATTCCCTGCTCGATTAGAATATTATACAGTTTCTGGCGGTCAATAGAATCGTAAGCCTTTTTAAAATCTATATACAGCTGGTGAACAATACCGTTATACTCCATTTTTTTCTCTAATATTTGCCGTAAAGAGAATATTTGATCAATAGTCGAACGATTCCGTCTAAATCCGCATTGGTAGTCTCCGATAATTTCCTCGGCGTATTCCGTGATTCGACTGGTTAAGATTACAGTGAATATTTTATAACATACCGGAAGGAGTGAAATTCCTCGATAGTTATTACAATCCGTCCTCGGACCCTTTTTGTGGATCGGAATAAGAATAGATTCTTTCCATTCTTCAGGTAATTTCTCGTTCACCCAGATCTTTTCAACCAACCGATGTATTTTAGAAACTCCAGCTTCCCCGCATGCCTTAATTAGTTCAGTAGGAATATTATCGATTCCCGCTGCTTTATATGATTTTAATTTTCCGATAGCTACTTCAACTTCCTCTTTACTTGGTCCTTCTATTAACGGTTCAGCACTCTGGTACTCAGAAGGAGGACACAGATCATAATTTCCCGTATTTAAAATATTGTCAAAGTGGTCCTTAAACTTATTCAATATGTCAACCGGATCGGTCAGAATATTGTTATTATCATCCCTAATTCCAGACGTTACGGGCCCTACATATTTACGTGATCTGTTTATACCTTTGTACATGTCTCTTACGTTATTTTCGATTCTATTAGTTTCTATTTCAATTATTTTATTTTTAAGATACTCCCTTTTTTTATTTTTGAGCAATTTTGTCGTTTCGTTCTTTGAGATTCGGAAGTATTCCAGATTGTCTTCGCTAGGATTATTTAGAGCTTTTAATTTAGCGGCTTTCCTTTTTTCGCACATGTTTAAGCAATCTTCATCAAACCACGGTTTGTTATTCTTATTTTCCTTTTTTCCTAGACACGAGTTACCGACCGCTTTAATATTATCCCTGATCTCTACCCATAACTTGTCAATATCCTCGTGGTCCTCGTCAGGAAGCTTTAAAGCTTCAAACCTATTCTTAACATCTAGCTCGAATTGGTTTCTAATTGATGGATTTTTTAATTTTTCCAAATTAAAATTCTCAAAATCGAAACGGTTTTCTTTTCTCTTTTTTATATTAAGTTTTTGTCGAAGTTTCGCGATTACTAATTCATGATCCGACCCACATTCTGCTCCGCGATAAGACCGTACATTGATTATACTGCTTTGCCAGCTGTGTTGTATCAAGACATGATCGATTTGATTTCGTGTTTGCGAATCCGGCGATGTCCAAGTATATTTATGAATATCCTTACGTTTAAACGTCGTACTTTTAATTACCAGGTTTTTCGAGATGGCAAAGTTTATCAGACGGATCCCATTATCATTACTATATTCGTGCAAACTTTCTTTACCAATCGTCTGAATATAAACTTCTTCCCTTCCTACCTTTGCGTTCGCGTCACCTACAATTAATTTCATGTAGTTTCGCGGTAGTTTATCATAAACCCATTCGAGTTTATCGTAAAATTCACTTTTGACTTCATCGTCACTGTCTTCGGTCGGACAATGTATGTTTATTAATGCGATTTTAAACCAACGTCCCTGAAATGTAGCTACCGAAATTCTATCACTAAAGAATTGTACGTCCCTCAAAGCGGATAGTAATCTACTCCTAATTAGAAACCCGGTACCCAAACAATGATTCCCGCTTCCTCCGTACCAAATAGTGTACTTTCCTTCCCTCATCGAGCCCTCCCCTGGCCAGC